AATATATTCGATTAGCATATTTAATTCAGGTCCTGTGGGTTTTGTTATTATCAGGAACACTTTTTCCATCGCCTATTACTCCCACTACTATTATCTCTATGCCTTTTGACATTCGGCAAACAATACATAAAGCCCCTTCCTGTTTCTGAGCCCTTTGCAGGCACAGCTGCAGTTATTTTTCAAACGTTGACAGATGAATGCTGAAAATAGGCCTTAGATGAATAATTTATGTTTGCACAATTGTCCTAGCGCTGGGTTAATTCTGTTTGAGAATGGTATAAGAGCATTGTCACAGAGTTCACAGTAGCAACGTGTTCGTCGCATATTCGTTGATATAAATTTAATTTGGGATCAGTCATGCTTGCGCATTTTGGAGTAGTCTTGATAATTTCGACTCTATGTTCTGGAACAAGTGAGATTACTGTTATTTGAATCCCAACCCAACCTTGTTTCTTAACCACTAATTTTAGAAGAAAAAAACGATAGCTACATTATTCAAGAGGATGCTGACCCTAGAATTATTGTAAAACGTAAGTTAAAATTCACAGATTTCGAAATTGCTCTATTTTGGAATTTGCCATGAATCGGCTAGCTTTTAAGGTCAAGTCAATCAGACGGTTGCTAACTGTGGAACGTATAAATAGTGGGTGTTTCTCTATTTTTCATAATCCTGCTAATAGTGCAATACTAAACAACTTGTATTTTGAGCTGTTCTTCTTGGCAGAAAAACAATTTCTGCAATAACTCGTTCTATTCCGCTGCAACGAAGATGGCATGGTGTGGAAAACAGTGTGGACTATGTTAAAGCATATATTAAATCGTATAATATATGACTATGTGTAGACGCCTCATTGCTAAATACCTATTTCTACTGATATTCTAAGAATTTTTGCTGTGCGACTACCAGACCATTAGTTAAAATTAATGGCTCGACTACAAGCAGGTTTCCAATCTTTCATAGCAATTCGAAATTTAGTTTGCCAAGCTGGCTTTTAGTAACTTATTCTGTTTTTCCTCTCCATTCTATGAAACACCTGTGGTTGTACTACATGGACATAAAAGTAACTACATTGTATTTAGATAAACGCTTAATGTTATCATTCTTCCCTTCAATAAAAAATAAATACAGCATGACACATTTGTTTCAAGGGAGATTTAAACTTCTGGTGTTGTAATTCACAAATTCATAAATTTGTGAGCTTGACTTCAAA